GTATGTTTCCTTCTTATACCAGTGATCAACAAATGTATCAACAACTCAATCCTTATAATGAATTGATGTAAGTGCATGGCCATAAATATGCCCTACACCATGCTTCTTTGTTATACTTTAACAAAGCTTCTACAATGCCTACTCCTAACTCACTCAAGTCATCAAGTTTGGACTGTAAAAGTACCTCAAATGATGCCCTGGCAACCTGCCAGAATTTTCTTCTCCTTTCTTCACCCCTCCAGTCTTTCTTCCAGTTTGCCCATATATGCCTAGCACACCATCTAATTTCAGCATTTGGCAATACATCAATAAGTGCAAGATGAAGACCCTGTCAAATAAAGAACATTTGACATACAACAATGTTAAATATTAATTACTCCAAAAATGAAGAAATAAATTTAACAAATAATATAGTAATACCTTTTGCATATCAGACATCACTGTTAGTCCTTCACCTTCTGTAAGCTCCAAATCATGTTTGATGCACTTGAGAAACCAAGACCATGTGTCCTTGGTTTCTTTATCAACTACTGCCCATGCTATAGGGTACATCTGATTATTTCCATCTTTGGAAATGCAAGATAACAGTTCACCTTTACATACACTTTTGAGAAATGCACCATCTAAACCAATAATCCTTCTACACCCTATTTTCCATCCACTTTTTAAGGAACCAAGACAAATATAGATGCTCATAAACACCTCTTTTCCTGGAATTGTGTTCTTAGATGTCCTAATAGATACAGTAGTTCCAGGATTTATGGTATTTAATTGCTCAGCATAATCATACAACCTAGCAAACTCCTCTCTGAAATCTCTCATATGTTCATTCATAACTCTCAGTTTTGCCTTTCTACAACTTGTCTTACTAACATACAAACCATATTGCTTTTGTATCAAAAACTGAATCTGATGTAGTTTGATGGTAGGCTCACTCATAATCCTCTCCTTGTAATGTTTACTAATCCAAATGGGGTACACAGTTTGTTTCTTGTTCTTTTAAAACACTTATGGACAGGAAAATATGTTTTAACACTGAAATTTCCAGTGTTACCATCAATACTTCCAAGAATATGCCAAGGACAACCTTTTTATTACACTTTGCCCTTATCCTTTCCTTCTCATTAGGTTTCAACTTAATATTAACACCCTTCTGAATAGAGTAAGTTTGCAGTGCCTCCCTGAACTCTATGTGAATTCAAAAATACCATATACAGTTGAAATAAAACCTTTTTAGCAGTTGGATCAAAGTAGATCTTTGTACTTTCCTTCCTAGGTGCTGGATCTACCACTTCATCATTCTCAACAGGATCCCCCTTCATCTTCACTAATGTCACTACCAGGATCTGAGCTATCAAAATAAGGGTCATCACCACCCAAATTGCCTTCAAATCTCCCTCTCTTCTCCTTATAAATGTCTTCAAAACTAGCATCTATACCTACAGGACCAGATGGTATCTCATCTAGATTTACTCTAGCAGTCTTTTCTTTAACTTGTTCTTGAATATTAGATTGCCTAGCTTGAAGCAACTCCTCATTCAAATCACTCAAATCATCAATATTTTCATCAATATCATAGAGTGAATCAGAATGTTCTTCAACTCTAGGGGCAGGGGCTTGTTCTTCAACTAAAGGGGACTGCTCTTCAACTAAAGGGGGCTGATTTTGGTTTAAATCCCTATTTTCATTTTCATCAAATGGTTAAGATGAAGACACATCAGCCCTATCTATTTGTGGGGAGGATGACAGATCAGCCCTATTTTTGTGTGGGGAGGAGGACACATCAGCATTATTTTGTTGTGGAGATGAGGACACATCAGCATTAGTGCTAGGCAATACAAGTATCTCCTCTACAACTAAAGGTATACTAATGGGATGTACAACATATACATCAACAAAATCAGCACCCTTCAAACCATTCAGAAAGTTTAAAACATCAGAATCAGTATTTAACATGTAAAAAGTACCCTTCTTGTTGACTCTACATCCAAATGTCTCAACATTTTCAACACCCAATTCCATTGCTATTTTATGAAATAACATAATATGCAACTCATCTACATCTATATTAATCTTTTCAACACTACTGATTCCATTGACATACCTTAAAGTAGGATTAGATACAAAACAGCCCCCATAGTGAAATTGAAGTGTCACTATAGTTAAAGCCATTACCTTACGATGCCTGTAAAGTCAAAAATAATAACTACAGTTAAACCATAAACTTACCATGACTGTAACACAAAAATCCCCAATTTTTTTAAAGAAATAATGAATTGTTGTAACAGTTAAAGCCATAAACTTACCATGACTGTAATTGTTGTAATAATGCTCCACTAACACTATCAATACCCAAGACAATTGTCCAGAAATAAAATATTTATTTTAGTTGAAATTGGGATTTTACGAATAAACCCTAGAATCTACTCGAATTCACGAAATATGCCATTGAAGTCACTCAAAGTCATACATCAACTAAGAAAGCATATTAACACTAATATTACATCCAAACCAAAGTAAAATCCCCAAAAAATTTCAGAAAATCGAATGACAATCGTACCCCTAAAATTCAAACAGATACGCGCGAGAAAATGAAAAAAGATCAGAACTAACGCAAAAGGCAAGAACTTACAACGAAAATCGGAGTGGAACTGAGCTTCAACTAAGCGAAGGTTTGAAAAATCACAGACGAACGTCGCGGAGAGGAGAAGAGAAGAGGAGAAGAGGAGAAGTGTAAAAGTCGTGAAGGTTTGAAAAATTTCGCCAGAGTGAGGACTATTCTTAGTTTAAGGTGAGTCATTTGCCACGTGGAATATAATATCATACATGGATTATTATTTTTTCTTTTTGGCCAACGTGTACGTGTTTGTGCAACACGCTCCATACCATATCAAAACAAGTGTTTAAAATGTTGGGTTTGGATGGGTTCAGGGGTCCAGATGACAAAAGGGTAAGTAGAAGGGTTCACAATACAAACAGATACAAGTACAAGGGTCCACCAGACCATTTGCCAATTTAAATATTGGAATTTTAGTCTAAAGATTTGTATATAGTTATATGCTCTTAAACTTACCATGATGTGGAATATTGAAATTAAAATTAAATATAAAAAAATACATCTTTTTAGGACAGACTAAAAGGGCAAGACACTTAAATAGTTAAACTGGCACGGATGAAATAGTATTACTGTAACATCCGGCAATGTAAAATAATTGAAGAGGCTTAGAATTGGAAATTTTCATTTTTGGAAAGAATTTTAAAGTTTTGGAAATTTTGGCCAAGTATGGAAAAATGTGAATTTTTGGCCAACTTTGAACAGCCATAAATTCTATCTCAATATGATTTAGGTGGATTTCCAGTTATGGTTGCAAAGTTTGTGGAACGTTCTTTCCAACGCCACCGAGTTTGCTCAATTCCGAGTTCGTAGGAGTGAGTTATGGCCTTTGAAAGTTGGGCAGTTGTCAAGGAATCCGTCCGGAAAATTAAGGGCATATTAGTCTTTTCCCTAGCCAATTCTTTTGGGATTATATTGTTGTAAAGGGCTGATCCTTGGATCATTTTGTCCCATTTTAAAAGAGTAAAAGCTAGGGCTTGAGAAGAAGAAGAGAAGAAGAAGAGAAGAAGGAGAAGAAGAAGAGGAGATCAACAAGTTTCCGTCAAAGATCAACGTAGATTATCGTCGGGGGTGACCCCTATCAAGGTATGTGAGTTATTTGTGTGGGTTGATCCTTTCCCCCACACACCAAGCTCATTTTATGATTTGAGGAAAGATTGGAATTGTTGTTGATGTTGTTAGTTGTGTTGTTGAAGTTGTTGTTGGTTGTGAGACATGATTGGGTTGTGTTTTGAGTTGTAATCCATGGTATGTTGAAGGATATGATGATCCTTAGTGTTTGGGGTTAGATCCTTTGAAGTAAGGATGGTTTAGAGTTGAAGAAAAAAGGGAGAAAAGTCGAGTTTCTGGTAAAGGGGCTGGCGCGTCGCGCCTGCCAGCGCCCCCCAAAAGGGATTCTGAGGTTTCCCCCTTGGGGCGCCGCACCTCTCAGAGCGCCAGCAGGTGACCTCTGACTTTCGAGGGCTGGCGCTCCGCGCCTTGCAGAGCGCCAAGGACACCATGTTCCCTCTTTCTTTCCATGCTTTCTCATGCATGTTCCTAGGTGTTATACCTATGTTCCCTAGTTGTTTCCAACACCCCGAAGTGTTTCTAAACATCCTGAACTCATCTATAAACATGCGATTATATGTCTTGAATCCATAATCCAATTCAAGTCAAGTTAGTATTAAAGTTAAAGGGAAGTTCGAGTCAAGTCAAGCAAGGTTAAGAAGTAAGTTCAAGCAAGTCCTTCAAGCTGTTCAAGAGTCTTTATTGAACGTTTT